TTTATATATTAGGTTTTATATAGAATATAAAATAGATAATATACTTCTTATTATAATTATTATTACTTCTTTATATTATATATAAAAGAGAAAAGAAATAAAATAAAAAAGTATAATTATATTATAATAGTTTAAATCTAAATAATCTTTTCTAAAGAGATCTATCTTTCCTTAATAATTATAAATTAGTACTAATAATAGTTTAAAAAATAAATAATATATTAAGAAACTATAGTAACTATAACTAAACTAAGTAAACTATAGTAATTATAATATATCTTCTAATCTAGAGATAAATAAACTTATTAATCTTTATTATAAGTTACTCTAGTATTACTAAGCTAAGTAGATCTCTCTTATTTAGTTTTTATTTCTTCTTAAGCTTAATTTATTTTATTAATCTCTTTTATTAAATATTAGAAATTAGTTCTACTACTATTAGTACTACTTTATAGTTCTAATTATTATAATATTTATAAGCTATTTAGCCTATTAATTTTTAGAACTAAGAATTAATAATACTTTTAGAATAAGCTTAGTAGATCTTATATAGCTAGTTTACCCTCTAAAGTTATTTAGTATATTATAATACTTATATAAGATAGGAGAGACTAGTAGATTATATATAAAGTCTATATAGTATAACTATTTTTATACTTATAATATCTAATATATAAATATAGAGACTCTTTACTTTAATATATTTAGAACTATATAGATATAGAGGATAAGATATATTTTATTATAATATAGTATTATTTATATAACTATAATAATAAAATCTAGATTAACTCTTATTAAATAAGCTTTTAAATTACTAATTATATCTAATTTAATATAATAGTATTTTCTTCTATAAGAAAGTAAATTCTATTATTTTAATCTCTTACTATAATATTCTTATATATCTTCTTACTATTATATCTTTATTTCCTTTTTAACTATCCCTATTATCTCTCCCCTATTAATAGTTATTCTTTAAAGATATTATTAATTAGGAATAGACTAATATACTAATAAATAGTTATAATAGTAATTATTCTAATTACTCTTAGTTCTACTAGATCTATTAGTACTTTTTAATATATATTTTTAGTTTAGAATAGAGTATAATTACTATCTTAGCTATAATATATAAATAGAGAGAGTAACTTATTACTTAGAGCCTTATTACTAAATAGATTATAAAAAACCTCTAATATTAATATATTCTATAAATAATATAAAATCTTCCTTAGTATTATTATTCTAACTTCTAATAATCTTAATTAAGATAGAGAAAGAATTAAGAAGATATAGTATAGTACTAGAGTAATTAAAAGTATAAAGAAGAAGATTATACTAAATAAAGAAGATAGTTTACTAAAGCTTTTCTAGAAAAACTATCTTAATAAAAATAAATATTTCCTCTATATAAGTAATCTAAAGTATATTTATCTCCTATAAAATATAGTTTTAAGATATTTTCTATTTTACTCTATATTTATTTATTATATTTAATTATTTATACTTATAGTATAGCTTAATAGTTATAATATAATATCTAATTACTTTTTAAAACTAGAGCTTAAATTAAGTTTTAATTCTTAGTACTTAGTATAATTAAACTATAGATTAAACTGCTAAATTTTATATTAAAGATAAATCTTAGATATAAAATATATTATATAAACTATTATTTAGACTATAGAACTTTAAATTAGAAACTAATTCTATTAATACTATAAGTAAACTAAAGACTATATATCTATCTAATATAGATTTTAAAATTAGTTTACTAACTTAATAGTACTAAGATATAGAGTAACTTACTCTATAATAAGCCTTAAACCTTATCTCTATAGAGATTAAAATTACTATATACTAATATATCTAAAGCTAGTTACTTATCTTACTATATACTAACTATCTTTCTTAAATAGCTAATATTAATAATTTACTAGCTACTATTATTTAATTTTTATTATACTAGATTAAGACTATAGATACTCTACTTAATATAAGTACTTATAGATTACTAATAACCCAGTATCTATTTTCTACTTTCTATTTATCTCTATATATATTATTTTCTACTTCTTAAGTTTATTTTCTATTCCCTATATAGATTACTAGTAATCTAATATTTATTTTCTATTTATATCTATTTACCTTCTTATTTAGTATTAGGTTTAATATCTAAGGCTTATATAAGCCTTTTATATATTATTTACCCTTAGTATTTCTTAATTACTCCTACTTATTTTATTATCCTAGTAGTATCTTACTTTATATATCTGCTCTTATATATTACTTATAGATATAATATAATATAGGTCTAGTATAGTAATCTTTATAGGAAGCTTAAAGGTAAAAGGATAAAAGTTTAATAAAGCTATTTTACTACTTATATAGGCTGAAAAACAAATTTAAGGTATTACCTATTAAGGTGGATAAATAAATATACTTTGCTGAATTACTAACCGTATTTAGGAGGTATTCGCAGTTCGCCCAACGGACTGGGGAGCAGGATAGGAGCATATTGTACCAGTAATAACGTGGTATTACAGCGTCTATATATACCAAGCTCCAGTCCAAGCAGATACCAGAAATACGAGACAAATGAAGTTGTCGGGGGAAGGAGGATCGCAAATCAAGCTATCGCCTAAGAAACAATACGTATATGGTCTATCGGAAAGGCGGGGAGTAGAAGGATATTAATACGGGTTAGCTTTGTATAGCGCTCCTGTTACATATAGTCACAACCGAGCTGTACTGAAAGATATAAACTACCCATCAAGGTCGAGTTTCCCGAGGCGTACAACGAAGCTGAACCCAGTCCCAACCCAGTCCCAACCCACTCCCCCTTTCTATACAGGCAATGCAGCGTCCTGATTGCATCGGCGATGAGTGACTATCTTGCTTCAAAGCAGAGTTAATAGAATGTTAATTATCCGTTTACAGGTAAGTATATCAAACGAGTGCAAGAGGAATCTCCCACGCGAGAACGTGATTATCACAGGCAAGGCACCCTGCAACTTTGAATTAGTAGAATTGGATTATTAGCCTAGTAATTAACAGATAAGCCTCGTTAGAAGTCTGGTGCTTCCTAGAACACTGACGGAGCCACTAATATCATTTTCTTTCTTCTTCCTACTGCCTGTACCACTGCGCTATCTGGTCATCTGCATAATCCCAACTTGCTGGCAGTTTATAGCGGGATGGAAGCGAGCTAAATAGGGAGTTAAATATTATAGGATTCAATAGGCGTCTCGATAAGGGGATTTTATATAGCTCAGTAATTGTTCAGCGTTTAAGGTGTTGTTCAGTATATTAATACTAAGCCTTACTGAGAAAACTATAACCAGTAGTATATTAATAGTAGAGAGCTGGTGAAGCTAACTCCTGTACCCGTATTAACAGTTCTTTACTAAATAATTAGAGAGTATTTTTCTCGATAGAAATTTAGAAGTAGACTGTAGAAGAGGCAGTCTCTGGTTAAATATATAAAATTCAGCAGGTTCTAAAACGTAATCCGGCGTCTGCCCCGTCCTTTCCAGTACTGGATGAAGTAGTATAGCCAAGAGGATAGAGTTTGTGAGTTACGATTGTTACAAGAGGGAATATCGAGTAGATCTTATTCCACGATATAAAACTTAAGTCCACGGTCGTACAGGACAAACGCAGAAGAGTATAGATCAGGATTATATCTGATATCATAATATAAATCGTTCTATCGGGCGAGATCAGTCGGTAGAGTATAAGAGTACTCTATTTAATAACCTTTTAGTTAGCAAAGAAGTATATATTGATTATATTATTCCTTATATCTCCATTATCAAGACTGATATAGTACTCCTTCGAGCACAAGTAGTTAATAAAATTGGTTATATAAGGACCACCTTCCAGCAGGATATCCAGGCGTGGAACGGTATTATGGTACCGCTCTAAAAATTCGAGAATAGCTCCACTAACTAGGAGACTATTGTAGAAGGCAAGGTTGTATCGGAATAAAGCACAATCCTTGATAAAGGCCCCTAGAAGATAATTGGCGTTAAGTCGACTTTGATACTGAGATTGGACAGTATCGCGAAGTGCCCGATATATACGATGAAGGATGACAATGTCTGCGAGCGTGAGAAATAATAGAATCACCTCAGCGATTGTAGGAATGCGAAGGAGCCTTGATAGATTAAGCAAAGCTAAGGAGGACATAGCTTCTTGATCCCAACTAATTTCCCGCAAACTTGAAAAGCCAAAATCTTTATTCACCACACTTTAATCCATTATACGATCCCGACGTAGACATTTTTAGGCTAAAGGGTATGGCCCAGAGGCATCTCATGTGTCGATTGGCACCCATGAATATATCCTGGAACGACGCTACCGCAATTCCGTTTTCACCTAAGTTTCAACACCTAAGTTTCAAACTTGGAGGCTGTAAGTACAATCGACAAAAGAAACAAAGAACCGGTTTTTTTAAAAAGCAAAAATAAAAAGCCATTAGCTAGCTTCGTTCCTCAAGGCTCCTTTGCGCAAACCGGTCCCGGTTTGCCTCTACAACGAGTCAAATGTGGCGCTAGTAACCACCTTCGCCTAAGCCAATGAGAGATGAATTCACAGGCTTCTAGGCACAATACGATTGGCTGAGAATTGCCCTGCTCGTGACCTGTCCTATGACTGAGCTTGAAAGGAGATTGGCCCTGTCATATCGACTGGTACAAGATTCTGGCCTTAATGCTGGACAGCTTGATCCAATCACAGCACATACTGGCTTGCCAATATCCTTGCCTACCCCACCTGCAATGCCACATTGCGCACTTGGGCGGCATGTACCTACTTGTGCAGCTAAGGCCGCAACCCGTCATTCACAGGGGTTTGATTGGATGATAATCCCTGCAATAATAGGTCTTAAGTCAAGTGGTAGAGCATAGACCTTTCGTTCCTCAAGGCACTACCCCACCTCGACTGGCGACATCAACTTTTCTCTTCATGAAGCTTATACCCATGTACTATTTACCATGGACGACCCACTAAGTATTGCCTCCAGTGTGGTTGCACTCGTGACCTTTGCCTTACAATCTAGTGTTGTGCTTTATAGCACTGTTCGCAGCTTTCAGAGCCAAGACAAAGATGTCCTGGCGCTAAAAGGCGAGGTCAATGACCTCACTACCGTGTTGGAGTGTCTACTAGATACTGTGACCAAACACCCTGAACTTGATTTTGCGGCTCTCAAGACCCACTCCATCGCTATGGAAAGGATTGCGAGGAGTACGGCGACGTTATTACACGATGTACAAAACACTCGACAGGCTCCCAGCCTAGCATCCAGGACTCGGATTACTAATTTCAGACACGAAAGTTTCGGATGATGGAAGTTGTATTCGCAAGCGATCTAGGAATTTGCCCAGCTAGATATCTAGGCAGCTGTACCGGGGATTGCGTGCCATATGTAAGGTACATGACATTAGGTGATTCACAGGTGATTCACAGACCTGGCAGCTGCAAAATCCATCAATTTACCTAGAGGAGAGAGTTAGTATAAGCATGGATGAGTGAAGGCTACTATTCGATTCTTACTTTCTGAACCCAACATTGCTTCCGTGACCCGCTTCGCCGACCTGGGTGCCATCTTTGTTCTCATTGTCTGACATGTCGAAAGGGGTGTTGTTGTTTCCCTTTCCGCCGGAAGACGGCGTGGCGGTCTGTTGGTCATAGCCGTATCCAACGTTGGAACCATCGCCAACGCGACCGGCCTGGGTACCGCTGGTGTTCTTGTTGCCGGACATGGTGAAGCCTCCGCGGTCTGCCATTATGAAAAGGTTATGGGGGTTGGTTGTTAAAAAGTGCTTTGTAGAGGTTTGTATGATCTGGAATGCAGGATATTGGAGGAGTGACAGTGTCTGGGAGGTGATGCCTTTTTATAGACCGGATGGGAGAGCAACGGCTGATCAGCTAGTAAGTGGAGTTCGTGGTCAGACGTCTCAAGCATGATACTCAACGCGAATAGATGCCGCTCGGACTAGCCTGATGCGCGTGATCCGCGTCCCGTAACACCACTACAACGTATAAACCATGGTACACAACTGTGGAGTCGACCAAATCTGATCAAGCCACAGCACGGTGGACAGCTGAATCTCGATTTCCATCCAATCAGCTACAAACCACAGCCTTGTGTGTCGCCACTTAGCATTGCGCATGGACGACATCTCCACAGCCGGCTTCCGCGACCAATAGAAAAGCCGAGCCCCGCCTCTCGCATACCCCGGCATTCCCGCATCGGTGTCTGTGCATCAGCAGTTGACGCAATTCACAAGCTTGGCTTCGCATGATAACTTGTTGATATGTTCGAAATGGCCAGAACAGGTAGGAGAACGCGCCCATGGACAGCTGAAATGCAACTGTCGCTTCCACGTCACTGACTAGTTACTGTGGCTGGCTGAGAATGGCCTATCTCTACCTCGTTGAGCGTGCGAGAGCACCATCGACAGCCGTCCCGTCTTCAATACCGGGCCGTTTGAGGGGCACAGAATACAGGATCCGAAGAAAGCTGGGACTGCATTACGAGGACTCTGCTTCCGTTGATGTCTGGGTGTCTGAATGTGGTGGATGAACCAGGCATCGGGGACGCCGGATACTTCCATTTACGGGGAACCAAGGAACGACCAAGTAGACCTAGTGCAATCTGGTACATCTCGCAGGTCTTCCAAAGTACTTATAACAGGTTCTCGCTCGAAATCTCCGGTGTTTCCCAGACTACTGGCAGTAATAAAATGCGACACTGTATTCGCTAAAGGCCCCTTACCGCGAAAATGACCTTCGAAATGGAAGGCAACTCGAACCAGAACGGCACCCAAGTCGGTTCCGTAGGTAACAACTCGACCGTTACATCTGAGCATACAGACAACTCACAGTATAACGTCACGGTCTACTACAACAGCCCGACAAAAACGGTTAGTGATGCTGGTGGTAAAAAAAGTGAATAGGTACCGCAAGAAGGAACCAGTTGTACCCAGCTAATAACAAGAAGACCTCAGGATATGGCTTGAGCGAAAAGAACATTCTGTCGAAGGCCACACGGCCGAGTGCATTCTCACATTCAACAACCGCATTATCTGGGGACCTCAGTCCTGCCATGACAACACGTTTCGATTAAAGGACGCCTTGTTTGCTGTCGACCCCCGCTTCCAAATCACGCTTCGTAATAAGCGCAAGTCGATGGAAGGACACACATACTCTCTCAGCCTCATGGCTGATGGCCACCTTTACCTAGATCGACTATCCACCCATGAGAATATGATCGGCCTATGCCAGGCTATCAACGATTGCTTACTCGCTGAAAATAACGCTACCTGAAAAATACACCTACGTACGTATATAGTGAGACGCTGCTACCGAAGAGGGCGGCTAGGATAATGAAACGAGCAGCAGTAATTAAGAAATGCTGAGGGTGAATGATGCAATACACAAACAGCTCGTATAAGCCTTGGATGTTGGGCCTAACACTAAATGGGAAGGGGATGAGCAGGAGTAGAAAATGGACGCCGGGTTGCTGGTGACCCACGCAGGGATGAAACACGAAGGTACACTGAGGGGGATAGCAGATCGGACAGCCCATCTAGTAGGACAGCCCATCCAGTAGGATAGTGCAAAATAGGCCAGCCTATACAATAGGCCAACCTACAATAGGCCAACCTATATAATGAGCCAGCCTACATAATAGACTCGTCAATATTAGGAGCTAGACTTTTACAGTAAATATATATATATCTACCTTTGAGTAAAATTGAGTTAACCTGGGTTATAATATTTATATTATATTATTTATTAATACTAGCTCTAATAGTATATAGATAGTAATTTCTATAATATATTTAATAGGATATAATATAATTAATAGTAAAAGCTATAGTAGATCTGGTTAAAAGCTAGTTAATATTATATCTACTATATCTATAGTTAGAATAATATCTTTACTTAGTAATAGTACTCTTTCTAGTATATCTTTATAGGATAATACCTAAGGCTTAGCTAGTAATACCTTAATCTGTATATACTAGTAAGATATATCCGATAAGTTAATAGTATAACTAGAGATATCAGTAAAGGGCAGTATAAATATCAGTAAAATTAAAGGAGCCTGATAGAGCCTGGATAATAATAATAATATCAGTATAGTACTATTAGCAGGGATAGGTTATTATAAGTACTAATATAGTAATATCTACTTAGAGGTAGTATAAGTTAAATATTATTAATATTCTGCTTTAGGGTACTATTTCAGTCTATCTCTTTAATTAGAGATAGAAAAGATAGGTTTTAAGCTAAGGTTATATAGTATAGGGAGTTTAGTAAGGTATAAGTAGATATAGCTAGTATTAGTAATACCTTTAATATAGTCTTTAGTATAAGGCTTATATTATTATTATTATATAATTAGTAGTAAGGAAAGATAAACTAATAGGTTAAGCAGAGTATATTATATTAACTACTACCTTCAGGAAGGGGTAAAGTATAGCTATCTTATAATTTAATTAGCTTCTGCTTATATAAGATACTTATATAATTATATTCTAGTATTATATCCAGTACCAGATATTTCCTAACCCAGAGGTATATTCCTATTTTAAAATAAGTAATTATATTACTTATTCTATTTATGATTTAACAGGCGGGAGCACTCATACTTATACATATCCCCAACTCCTGTTACACATTACTGTTTCAGTGGAGATGTTTAACAGCCCAAGACGTCTTCGTGTCTAGGTTTACGAATACAGACATGTAAGAGCCGGAAAAGGCTTCTTTGTGCCTACGCCGTAAATGGCTTGGCCACTCCATGCACATTGTTCCTTGGTCAATATCCAGGCACTTACCTCAGGCCAAAAACTGCGGCTCGAGCATAAAATGCGCGGCGTTTCATAGGGACACTGGCTGTCCGCGTACACCCTAGCTGTCCTCGTACATTCCATGAATCCTATTCACGAGGTCACTTCCTCCGGAATGTTTGCTTTGGACGCACAACCGGATGTAGCAGATCTCGAAAAGCTACAGTTTGTCTACGATGCCATGGGTGATACATCTACGCTTTGCCTAGCGTTGACTAGCACTCCACTAGCTTGGGATGTGCTTACGGTTCTTTAGTAAGACATGGAATGCTCGGTCTAGATTCCTCAGAGTTATTTTTAGGCCTACCCCCCACCCCCCCCCTCGAGCTAGGAATTTTACTTACAGTAGAGCTAGAAGCTAAACACCTGGCGGCCTCTCACTCCAAGTGGCCAGAAAAGCTAGGTCATGGGCTAAACAAATTGTAATGGTTCTAGACTGTGAGCTGAGACATACCAGGCTGTTTTGATATTAGCTCAATAAGTCACGGTATGTGCGATGTTGTTCAATAATACTCTTCAGCTTCGCGTCTTTTCGGTGCTCCTGAGTGTAGAAAAATAAGGGCCGTTCCAGCCATAAAATTTAGCCTGACTTAATAGTACACTAACCTTTACACTGGAATGCTATGGCGAGTGAGTTATTGTGGAGGGCCTTCAGAATCTGTCGTATAGTGTTGTGTGCGCCTTAATTACAGTTAAAAATATTATCCTTTCTAACCACTTCCACCAACGTCATACTTAAATAGTCCGTTCTACGCAGACAAATATATAAGTAATACCAAACTCGTCTGCCGGCTGAAAGTAAAATGTCAATCATCAATATTTGCCAACATGGAAAGACAGGAAAACTCAAAGAATCGTCGCATCATTGTCCTTAGCGATGGTACTTGGTGCGGCCGGGAAACCGGCACGCACACAAACATCTATCATCTTGCTACACTCATGGGACTTCCAGCAGATAAGCAAAATGCTGAAGACGAATACACGTGGACGACCCCTACTGCTCATGCCAGATACCGCCATGGAGTTGGTCTCAATAGCACATTTCTTGATTATCTCTTCAACGGGGTTACTGCGCAAGACCTCGCAAAGGAATGTATTTCGGCCTACAAATTTATCGTAAACACTTACACTGGAGGAAACGATATATGGTTATTCGGGCTCAGTCGGGGAGCTTACACGGTTCGCTGCGTCGCTGGGATGATCAATAACTGTGGAATCGTCCATCCACGTCGAACTAATGACCAGACGGAACTGCTCTGCCAAGAGGTGTACCGCATCTACCGCTCCAGCTATCCTATCAACCATCCGAGCTCTCCACAGTCAAAAAACTTTCGCAGGAGAAATTCCTGGCCATTGGTGGGCGACGAGGAGAACAAGGAATCCCCCCGCCGACCACCCGTCCGATTTATGGGCTTGTTTGACACAGTTGGCTCACTGGGTATCCCGACCTTTACAGGAGGGGTGGGACTAGAGTGGCCCAAGTTTCACGACCAAGATGTGTCATCCGTTGTGGACCAGGTATACCATTTGGTGTCTCTTCATGACCGGTTCTACATCCTTCAGCCTTGCCTCGCTAGTCGCAAGGACGGTTCAATGTCAGGGATTGAGGAGGAGTGGATACCAGGAGTTCATTACGACCTAGGCGGACAAAGATTTCGTTTCTTTCGCTCAGGAGCTGGCAGGTTCGAGGGGCTACTGGCAAAGTACGGGTTGGTGTCCAAGACCATCGAGCCGAATGAAGTCCTCGCCGATTTCGCGTTGGTGAAGATGCTTAAGAGCATTCGGAACCACGACCAGAGCGGTATCATTCCAGAGAATACAATGAATTCTGCGCTCGAGAGTATGCAAGCGAGAATCGAGACGGGTCAAAATACGGGTGACGGAGACGTTGCGAAAATCGTGAAATACACCCCATTTGGACAATATCTCTGGGTGCTCTTCACTGCTGCGTTCAGAATGGCTCCTTCATTTTGGGAGTTATTGTTCGCACTTAGGGACCGCTTGATCCCTGATAGTCAGGCAAACGTCTATGATTTTCAAACAGAATCACTGAGAGAGCTTGCTAGAATAACACCGGAGAGGTACCCATCCAACACACTTCAGTCCTGGCTTCAGTCCTGGCATTAGACAAGATGAGGCTGCCAACTCTTACCCTCGGGCTAGGCCGCTCTGTTTCAGTTTTTTGCCAGTTTCTAATTCTTTACTTTTTGTTGTGGCACATGTTGAACACTTAGTACATTCCATCTGATTCATTTTGGACAGGTCAAGTTTGCATTTCGAGTATTTCATTCCTTTTCACAGAGCTGGCAGAAGCGAAAAAGATTCAGGATTTATCTCTCATGGTAGACTCTGGCTCAGTTAAGTATATTAGTAAATTGAAAGGCAACTGCGAAAAGCAGTAAAATGGAAATAAAAAACTGCTAGAGAGAGAGAGAAGAGAGGGATGATTAGTTAGCATCACTCAGCGACTCTCAATATAACATCATCAGGGCGCCGCCATAGAGACAAACGTACCAGACCCAAGTTGCGGGAACTCATTTGGGCCCGGTTGCTGGCCTTGATATATTCACAAGAAGTAACAAAGAAAGGCCATGACTCATTGTGGACCAACAAAAGAGTGACTTTGCTCTTACTGTGTTATATTTTTATCCGCACTATGGTCAGCCACACCTTGCCTAAAAACGGCCTTCTTTTAAAGTTTTACTATTACAAGTTGGAGGAGGATGTCCAAAATCGCAAACGCACAGAGGCAGCGATCGATGCATTCAATCTCCGACTGTCGGCCTTAGAAACAAGCTCGCATCAGTTGAATGAACGGACCAGAGAAAGATGTTACAAATCTGTATCACTTATATCACTCAATAACTAATATGACGACTTTCCTCAGGGTGTAAAAGGCGGTATAAAAAGGAGAGTGCGGAAGAGAGAGGGTATTTGAGTGATGATGTCAATCTATGTACTTGGTTCGTGGAGTTTTCGAACCCCGTCCCTCCAGTTAAGAACCAGCCCATGCCTATATCAACAATGCAACCCAGGTCCTCACATTCTACAACTTCATATCCGCTTCTCGCATCTCCAATATTATTTGTAGCCGGTACGTAATTAATTGTGTATTTTGTGCCTCAATGATGTTCTCTCCAATGCCAAACAAACCCTCCTACCTTATCCTACCTCTTGGCGATATTACCTAGACCCGGTCTAAAAGAATCCTTGGACCATGGCCTAGCCCAATCAGATTTAGACAAAAAGTTCATCGGGCAAGTTTATCCTTTCAAGACTCCCGCAAATATATCTATATAGAACAATGAGACCAGGGATTGCCATGTAATATGTTAATTACTTTGCCATCAATTTCGCTTACGGTAGCCTTGACCGATTGGACATGAATCTGACAGGGTTTTGGTGAGATAACAGAGGTGGTGGTGCACGGGCACCTAGCTTTCTACCTCCTATTTTTCCATAGGCTCCTCATCCCATCCTGAAAGGCTACATTTTCGTCTATGATATGGGGATCAGCAATGTACTATAATAAGGCGATTTGAGATGAAGTTGTTAAGACTTGGAATAGATCTCTCGGCATAGAGCATCCGGGCACACTCTCCTCCATGGAGAATCATGATCTGTCTTAGAGTTTGCAAACCTGAAGATGAGCCTTCGGTGGCGGACTCGGCGCCTGGAGCTAATCATTATATGGAGGCTCCCGCATCCATCTTCGTCGGTTCCGAATGCAACCCTAGTTCCGAAAGATAAAGTTTTCATAAGCTAACCTAGGGTTTGGGGTGGGCCTGAACAGCGTGCCTGACTAAATTGCGGCAAATCGCTGGACCAAGTTTCAGCTACAGTATGTAACATGGAAGGAACAATACCACAATTTACTACTCAACTCCCGTACAGTACAATCAGAATGAACATGGTCGGAGAAAAACTCTTCATTCTGCTAATGCAATAAAAGTCTCTTTCTATTTTTCCGATGGTGGGCGACAGGGTATAAGTGTATAAGTGCCAACAGTCAATCTAGCGTATTGCTTTTGCCCACCGGTACCTAGCATTTATTTACAAGCAAGCAACACCAAGACAGTTGAATCAAATCTTATATGAACATATGGTGGTGGGATAGTGCACTTATTGTCTGTCGCCAAGGCCCCGGTTGTATTGGTGGCAAGTGGTCCAACAAGTGGTCCTGGGACGGCAAGTTGTCCCCAAGGCAGGTCACTGGAGGTGTTGACCTTGCTTGAGGAAAGGAGTGTGGCTGGACACTTGCAACAAAGCTTCGTGGATGAGGATGTATGATGATGGTCATTAATGCGGCGAGGAAAATTACTCGGAAAATTGCCATGGGACTATTTGAATGAATGATATGTGAGTATCAAACCTGGAGTTTGTACTTCCCCTCAAGAGCTCCTAGTGCAACCTGAAGGTGCACCGTTCCATGCTCACCAGTCTCCAACTCCCCCACGTGTCCCCAATTCTTTTGTAGCAAAGCGATATGGTCGTAAAGCTTATATAAATATAGGAATTTGTAGACGGCACAATAGGCGCTGTCAAGAGCGCCGACGATCCAGGCATGATGGGCACTTGCTGTTTCGCCAACGAAATGGAACTTGCCGAAGGCACTGGGTCGAGAGAGGTATGGATACGAGTTGCTGAACTGGCCTGGAGCAAAGAGCGCGAATGCTCCGGCGCTGTTGGGATTGTGAGACCAAGAGAAGGCATGGTAGACACCTGTGTAAGCCTCCTTGATCTCCTTGTAGGTGATGGTCGCTGCATGCAGCCTAGCTAGGTTCTGCAAGATGAGCTCGACCAACTCATCCTCACTTGAAGGATCAACAAGTGAGCCCATACGAGTGGCATCTTGAGCCCAAGTGTATGAAGCTAAGAGGACAGCAGGATTATGCTCTCCGTCGTGGAGATTGTAAGATGGGTAGACGCATGTCCGTAGCGGGAGGTCAGTAGAACTGACACCACCCTCAGTAATACCGCACTTGGTGATCCACCATGGATAACTAAATTTCAGAGCCGCCTTGACTGAATCGTCGTAGTGAAGGCTGCGAATGGCATCTTTCTGAGATGGATGTAAACCCAGTCCGCGAAGGTCCATCCGTCCCACGCATCCAAGAGGGGCGGTGTTGAATACAGTGCTGTAACCGCGGCGAGGATAAGCCTCCCCAGCACATTTGACAGACATATTTCCGTCCACAATTGCCTTCTCGTCGAGGTAAATGGCCTCAACCCGCTTTCTGTACTGCACTTTTGTGCCGAGATCCTTCTCCATGGTATCGGTCAGGAGATGGGTGCCTCCTTCGATACAGGCCCACTCGACGTTACCCTGAGGATTATCGAAGTCAAAAGAGTCCATAACGCTCTCCGAAAAAGCCTGATCAAATAAGTTCGTCGAGGTATTCTGCGTCTCCATCCATTGAATAGCAAAAAAATCATACTTGAACAGCTTATACTTGGGGCCACCCTTTTGTAAGAACTCCCTCGTGCTAAAGTTATCCACACCCATGAGCATTTCGAAGCCATTGTTAAAATCATTGGCCAGTGCACTCTTGTATGGATTGAAGGCCTGGCCCAATATGTCGTCGACGTTGTCAACGACCTCGTTGGGGACCGAGCCGCCGTTTCTAACACTGATTTGATACGGATCTTTGACGCCCTTGACATAAAGATGGTCGTTATAGAGCTTGGGACAAGCATCACCGCCATCCAGGTAGTACTTGATCTGAGGGACATTTGTTCGACGAAAGAGATCGAAGGTACGCCACATAGTGGGGATTTTAGGGTACCGCATGGCACCAATGTCATAGTAGTCATGCGGCTCCTGGCTAAACTGATGCGTCAGAACCCGGCCGCCGGCCCTGGAACTAGACTCTAAGATCTCGTAGGTCAAGTTGGGAATCTTGAGATCATCAAGGATCATGGCAATGTAGAGACCCGCCACTCCAGCACCGACAATGCAAACCTTGCGAGGTGGAAGGTCGGCATCAAGGGAGGAAGGAATTCCATGGAGAAGCTTCTCCTTGGTAGTATCATTCTCATATATAGGGTCCTTTGGTAGATTATCGTGAGTGTAATGTTGGCGCCCCAAATAAGGAATTGGTAAACATCCTGGTAGATCGCCGGCCCTGGACTGCAGGGCGTTGAGCTCGGCGGCTAGCTTCTCTCGAACAAGACGTCTAGCCCATTGGGCTTTCATGGTGAGGTTGTTGACCGGGTCTTCCATACTTGCGGTGGGAAAAAGTGATGGCGTTCTTGGAGGAAGAAAACAATATTGTGGTACTGGTGCAATAATCGTCTGGGTGATTATCCCTTATCCTCTTCGACATTGAGGCTGGCATCCTGTTTTATTATGAAAGTGTGACTACAGATGCCATGTACCGGTACCAAATGGCCGTTGTTCTCGCCGGAATTTTGCACTCATGTCTCAAGGCTTGAGCTCTGACCCGGTAACCTACGAGCCCATGGCTACAGCAGACTGACTTAGATGACAAAACGAGTATACCGACCCGCTGATGTTGAGTTCCGCTGGGTGAGAGGAGGAATTCCTGCGTGAAGCGGGGAATGGACATCGGAAGCGATACCATAGATTCCCTCTTGGTGGCAGTATCAATGCAAACCAAAAAATGTCGGAAAAGTGCCGGATTGGTGGATTGAGTTTGGCGAACTTTAACCTAAGCTTTGCCTCTAAAACTAAAAAATATGTATCAGAACTTTATTGCCGGCTGCTCGTACGCCGATGCAAGGCCAACTGGGCCGCCGCCGATGATTATGGCATCTCAGAGCGGCGTTGGGGCTTCATCATGATGAATGTTTTAGAGAGATGAATGATAGATTGGAACTGTTTAGGGCACTATCCGAGGGAGGTTATATAGTGCATTATCCGAAGGAGGTCTGCGAGAGACACCCGCAAGCACACTTTGCACTCGGCTATCCTCATTATTTTGCACTTTGGTCTCACTTCCGCGCCACGACAATAGCATTCGAATGCAGGGAGAATACCGGCTCGTCCAAGTTGGGATGGTTGGGATAGGATCCCATTGCGGATGGCCGGCTGATGTAAATTCCCACAGGGAATGAACACTAACTATCCCCAGTAACGTGGACACAAAGTTTTCCGCTTCGGACTGTCGGCATCGCTACCTGAGAGCAGGAGACCCATAGCCGCCTGTGTCAAGAGTTGGGGTTGACTGCAGCACCGTGCAGCATTGTTCATCGTAGTGCCGAATCGGGATCTCTAAATAATTATTTCATCCAAGAACGGACCAATAGCGTGCACGACATGTACTTTATCATGTTAAGAGTATTGCCATCGACCAATCAAATACAGTCATGTATCAGTCTCAGCTTCTAGGCTCAGAGTCTTTATTGATTTCTCTCATTCCTGCCTTCCACTACCTCCTTTATTAATACTCACATGTGCTCCGTTACTTATAATTGAGTTCCTCTATTTATGTATACTTATTTCAAGGTACTTTGATTACCGAGAGGCGGCCACGAGGCAAGCTAAAGATGGGCTACTTCTAGGATGTACCCATGATTACCACCACAAAAGCGTATAAGGCGAGTGCTAACAAGTTCCGAGGCCACAATATCCTTTCCGCGTCTCATTCTAACCTCATTCGAAGGCATTGGGAGTCAAAGGGTGTTACAACGTTGTGAAATAGGATAGACAGGGAAAGGAAGAAGGACACCTTTGCTATCAATGAGGGACTAACGCTTGCAGATTCTATGTTGCATAGCAAAATCCTCCGACCAGGTCAGAGAGGGGTGGTCAAGACTGGCACAAGCTTCAATTCTTGGTCAGAAAATATAAGGACCCGTCCCCCTTCCCTCGAGTGCCGATCTCCTGTATTGTACTACTGGACCGATCCTTGGCCAAATCACTGAATACTTGCTTAATCACTCGAGGCTCTATTGAATTGAAATCAGAAGCCAATAGTATAGGCTAAGCCCAGAAGCCGGGGGCCCCGGTATTGCTGTCAGCGAGCCGTATTCTTCTCGCCTTTTGGTGGTCTTGCATCTTCTCTACCAAGTAAGGCGCCACACACCTAGAAAAGGCGTAAGGTAGGAGCAACCGAGCGAATTGGTTCTGCACCTATCTTGCCTCAGGCTATTGAAATATGCCTGAAGTCTCGATCAGATATAAGGTACTACATAAGTAGAGACGCGTAGATATTATCACAGGGTACGCTCGAAGATCCAACTGGGTTGTGATGTGATGAGCCAAGAGGAGAAGTATATGCATTCGCAGCGAGGTTGACTTATCACAGCCGTCGAGACCATTCCTTCTCCCGTATCATAAAAGCATCAGTTAAAGCTAGATATACAGTTACATACCAGCCTCACTTATAGTAGCGAGGTCGAAATCAAGCTTTACTAGAACATTCCGGCTGAGTTCTGATTATTGGCATGCCAGTATGACAATTATGGCTTATTGTTATCCTCTTGACGGTCGGTAAGTTTTATGAGATAAAATCACAACGTGATACTCTCCAAAGTACGAAGTGTGGTTCAGCTGTCACCTGAACCTAAAGCAGGAATGTATTCTAAGCTATCTCAGCTCACCTTAGCTTAGAAATTATGAAATATTGACAACAGGATCGGCAGGAGACTTGCATAAATGGCTACAATTTATAATATGGAGGGTGAAAGGTATAAATCAGCACAGTCCAAATTAAGAACAAGAACGACCTGGATCACCACTACTTCCGGGAGAGCGGCGCTTCCGTGCTTTCAGCTTCTCTGTGTAATCTTAATCCGCATCTTGACCCACGGAAGGTTTACAGAAGTATCCTTCATTCCGTCAAACAAATTCCTAACATTAAGTTCATATCCAATGCCATATGCCATATTATCGCATTCCTCGGTAAATAAATTCTCATATTGTAGTGTTTACTTCTCTCCCCTTCTGTACGCGCTAAAAGCCAGAGTGCATCAGAAGAAAAAGTTACTCAGCCTTCCATATACGTTCACTATCAAAGTCTACAATTTACAGAAGTTTAATTGAGCAAAACAACTGGCAAGAGCCAGCTGTTTTCAGCAACCCGCCAACATACCGTGAGCTGGACACTGTAGTTAACTCACTAGGTACGGGTCATTAAGATTGGCTATATAAACTATCACACCGTTGCTGTGTGTATGGGTGTGTATGGGTGTGTTCGAGAGGAAATGGTCGTTTGGGCCTCATTCGGTGACACAAACTAGAATCGCATCTCAACTTCTTATTAAAGATCGATCATGTCGAATATGCTCAATCAGACCGTATGTGCGCATCGATAGAAGCCTAACCCCCAAATACTACCACTTATCACAGACTATTCCAGACAGGCCCATGGCGGCTCAAAGCCAAGGTCAGAGGCACATTTACGTATCATGAGTTGTCGAGCATGCCTGATATAATTGAACAGGTGACCCTACCATGGCAAGCAATGACGCAGGAAGACTCGACGTGCCAGCTCCGCAAGCTGACAGTAAACGGGTTTTTACCTTGTCCAATGGTAAGCTCTATCAACTTCACTACAGAACTATGAAACTCTGATATCTACTAGGCTGCCCGATCCGGGATCCGTTATTAGGTGAGCAAGTTGAGAAGTCAGGCCGAAACCGATATGCCTCGCAGCTCATACAGGATCTCAATATGTTCGATACGCTTTCCCATGTCACTCGAGAGCGGATTCCGGAGAGGTAATGTGACATTTCTCAAGAACTTGAAGTATAAGCTCCCATGAGGCTGATCATCCGCCCGCGTGTCGTTTACAGATATGTCCACGCAAAAGGAGTGGGCGCCTTTGGCGAATTCGAGCTTACTAACTCTGATGTTCAGAAGTACACCGATGCCAAGTTTCTCCAACAGACTGGCGTCAATAAGAAGACTCGTCTCTTCGCTCGCTTCTCTACAGTCGCTGGGGAGCGAGGCTACCCAGATACAGTCAGAGATACGAAAGGGGCGGCCTTCAAGCTCTACACTGAAGAGGGAAACCTAGACTGGGCATTCTTGAACCCGGTTGGTAACATCACGTAAAATTTGAGAAAGCTCCGGCGTAGTTACTGAATGAATTGGCTAGGATATCTTTTTGATCAGAGACCCTGTCAAGTTTCCTAGTATGGTCCATGCTACGAAGCGCGATCCGGCAACCAACTTGCCTGATCCAAACATGGTGCGTTTTCAACCCTTTCAATCGTCCTAAAATTCTTGGTTTAACTTGTATATAGTTCTGGGAGTAATAAATCCATTCCATTCCCTTCACGAGCGTCGCTTATACTTTGATCCAGCTACTTCAACAACCATCCCGAAGGTTACAACGCCTTGATGAGGATCTTCAGTGACGAAGGGACTCCCAAGTCGTATTCAAGAATGAAGATCAACAGTGTCAATACCTACACCTTTACCAAAAAGAATCCGGACACCAACACTTGGCAGTCAACCTTTGTGAGGCTAAGGCTTGTCCCAGATCCTGAGCCTAATCAGGATGAGGACTATTTCTCACTCGATGAGGCGATTACCATGGCTGGCAAAGATCCAGATTATCTGACGCGAAGACTGTATGATGAAATTAACTCAATGAAAAAGCCTACCTGGAATGTTTATGCACAGATCATCGACCCAACAAAGCAAGATGATAATTATTACAACATCTTCGATGCTACGAAAGTCGTTCCTGACTCTCAGTGCATTGAGGTGATCAAAATTGGAAAGATCACATTGACTGAGAATCCCCAAAACTTTTTCACCCAAGTCGAACAAGCAGGGTTCAACCCTGCAAATGTGGTACCAGGCTGGGACGTCTCTCCAGATCCAGGTGTGTTTCCAACTTCATCTATGCTTAATTTTAGTTATGAGGCTAATCTGTTAGTGCTCCAAATCCGCCTATTTATGTATGGTGATACTCAGAGATATCGCCTTGGTGTTAACAATGATCAACTTCCCACCAATAAACCTGCCGATAACATTAATGTCTGGACGCCGACTAGACGCGACGGAGCGCATAACATTCAAAACTACGGCAATGCGCGAAACTATATCCGGAAGGATGAGAGCCAAGAGCCAGAGTACTATAACGCCAGCTACTTGAACTGGGAAGGCCGGGTGGTCAGGTTCAAGAGCCAAGTTGGCGACCAGGACTGGCGACAGTGCGCGGATCATTGGATAGAGCTAAGTAATATGCAGAAGAACCATTTCATCACGAATGTCGCCAGTTCGCTATCAACAGCCTCTGTCGTGGTGCAGGATCAAACCATAGGTGAGAGGATTCGCCATCTGCCCGGCTGCATAAGTTGTTCCATCTAGGTCGACTGACAGTTGCTGCAGAGATTTTCAAGAAGATTTGGGAGATTGCTGACCCAGGACATGCCGCTATGTTGGTCGATATGCTCAAGCAGGCTCTTAGACGTCTGCACAAACAGAATGCTGCACACCAAGACAAGCCCGGCGTTATTGCAGGCGGAGAAGATGGTCATGTGATCAACTATATCCCTCCGCCGGTTCCTAACCCGGCGGCTGGCTCCCAAGAGGTGTACAAAAGTCTCTGAACAGATTATCTGTTATCGATGTAGTTACTCAACTCTAGTCGCAACTTGATGCTGGTATTAGTGGAAATTCTCAAGTCGCGAGTGCTAATTAGTTCACCAAACTGTATCTGTTCTACAACTAAACGTTCTCAGCCTAGCCCGGGAGATTGTCCGTAGATATAATTTTGTCGGACTCCTGTGCTGGTTGAGTGAAGTGACAATTGGTGACTGTCGCTGTCAACTTAAGCCCAGCAAAGGTATTAGCAGGGTAACCAACAGTAAGACATACGCATACGAACCTAGGCTTAACAGTTTGATCAAACTTTGATCACTGTCAATCCTTTATCAAGTCTGATTGGCTCGACGTAAGGTCACCTAGTCGGGATGGCTCGTGAGATCTGAGCTGAAATGGCACAAGAGAGAGGAATGCCCCGATTCTAAATGATGTAGACAAGTTGCGACTAGGGTGCTCAATGATGATCAATTTTACTAGCTTGGGGATTATTTGGGCGGACAAAGGGGAACCATGGCTCTTATATCTCGGGGGCCGGTTGATCTTCTACACTCCTCCAAGACACACCCACGCATGGGATAGCTAACCTCGTTTCTTCCAGCTTGACCTGCATCTTGAGGAGCACATGTGTCTCTTTCTCATCCCACGGCGACTGGCACAGAGGTACCTTGTTAGCCCCGTTGGGCTGTAGCGTTGAGGCAGATAGCTACGTCATCCTTTGGTATTTTAAGGATACCATCGGAAAGGGTACTTTGTTAAATGGTTAGAAATGGACCCTGTAAAAATAGTTATCTAATAATATTTGCGACACCCATTTCGCCTTCTACTGTACGCACCTAGAATTTATTTACTGTAATGGAAACACACAATGCAGTGCTTTCAGGATCAAGAGCTCTCGAATACTTTATCCCTGGGTCTACACCGGTACATCTTCAGACTGGGACTTCTATGTTCCTTCAACACCTTCCTCTGTCGCAGCGGTTAAAATAGCTCTTGAACATTCTGGAGCTGAGTTCCAAACCTGTCTATCACGGGCAGTTCATATAATGAGAAAAGAGTCCGCTGTGATATTGAGTCGGGGCCATATAGTTTCAATTGCCTATGAAGCATACTATTCCCAACATACTTTCTGGTTAAAGGAGCATATTCAAGCTTTTCTAGCTGACAACCTGGTCTTTTCCCCTGCGCCCTCCTCTCAATCTAAAGAGAAGTTGGGTCATGACGAAAACGGGCTTTTCGAGGGAATTTATACCCCTTGAGCTGTTGACTAAAGGTTGAAACCATCTAAGGTACTTTGGACTAGATACGCCATTCCTGTAATAGTGTTATTATTGTTATTGATTGAAAATTAGGTTCAAGAGGCTGAGTACTGCCTCTTTACTGTATGTGTTTTTTATTTCTTTTATATAATTGTTTTTTGATTGATCATCTTCATTGCGTAGCTTAGATCTGGTTTGCATAGCCTAGCCTGCCTTGGCTTAAACTATGCAATTGAGCCGAAAAGAACAGATAGAATCATGCTGAAAGTATGTGTTGTGCTCGAAGTGTCATCCACTCAATAATCCCACCTTCTTACCTACTAGCTCTCAAGGCGTGATCAATACCCGCTATGACGACATCGAGGCGTGATCCATTTGCTTCATCTGTTGAGATTTTCAATGGAGAGAGCGCGGAATTTATTACTCTTTCTCTTGTTTCTTCTAGACCAATCTAATTTCTATGGAATCATCTCGGTACATTTCAGTGGTTAGTTGCCACGCTGAAGGAGAAGCGGGCGATGTTATCGTCGGTGGCGTGCGTGATGTGCCTGCTAAAACGATGAAGGAGAAGTTCCTGTACTTTAGGAAACACAGAGAAGACTTGCGCCTTGTGCTTCTAAATGAACCGCGAGGCCGACCCGAGATGAGCGTTGTGTTGATTCTGCCCCCGTGCGATCCTTGAGCGGATGCTGGATTTATCGTCATAGCTAGTGGAGATTGGTCGCCTATGTCAGGGTCCAATGCCATCTGCACAGCCACAGTCATGCTTGAGACTGTATGATTCCGATTCAGGAGCCTTGGACAGAAGTGTTATTTGACACTGCTGCGGGATTGGTCAAGGTGATAGCTCGTTGCGAGCAAGGAGAGTGCAAGTCGGTATCACTCCAAAACATACCCGCTTTCGTATATGGTCTTGACCTTCCAATTGATGTTCCTGGAATCGCATCAAAGTAAACATCGCCTTTGGAGGGCGATGGTACCTTTTCATCGAGGCACGTAGCTTGGGCTTGCAAGTTTCAAACGAGTGTGGAACTCAGCTTATGGAGCTTGGCAAGCGTGTCAAAGCCGCCGTCTTGGAAAAGCACAACCCTATCCACCCAGAATCGCCAGAGTTTTGCGGGATCGATAATATTGCAATCACGGAGCCTCTCCAGGATTTAAACAGGGAGAAAACAGCGAAGCAGGCTATGGTAATTAAGCCAGGTCGCTTAGACAGGAGCCCATGTGGGACAGGCAGCTCTGCTTGGCTGGCTATTCTTCATGCTAAGGGATTACTCAATCCGGGAGAGACAATATAATTCCAGAGTATGATTAGAATAAAATTCGTATGTCAGATCCGTGAGTTAACCAAAGTTGGAGATAAAGATACGGTTCTTCCAACCATTGAAAGAAGGGGCTGGATAACTAGCTATAAGTAGATAGTTTTAGACCCTTCAGACCCATTGCACACAGGATATAGAGTTTGATAGGTAACAACGGTCTTAGCTTTCGAGCTAGGTCTATCGCATGATTGTTATTTTCCTCGGCCAACTGCTGGCTGGAAGGTTACAATATTCCGACACAGATGTTAAGAAACAGACAACTCTCAAGCGAACAATTCTCAAGGTTGGGATTCCTACTTAGTAATAATTAAAACCTCCGCACCGCTTGAATAATTCCCTCTTGCTCGATCTGTCTGGTACTCTACTTCAATGCCTCCACACAGAATGGATTCGCAGTAAAGGTTCCGTTGGGATCATATGTCTGCCTGATCTTCTGCAACTTCTTGTATGTATCCGAATCGTAATAAAACTGCCAGACATTCTTCATGTTCCAGTCCCCGTACGATCCCCAGAGAAGTCGTCGATCTTCCTGACTAAAGTGCGTTACCGCACCCTTGTCATTCTCCTCCTGCCACTGCTCGGCTGCCTCTTTCGTATTCTGATAGAAGACATCCCACGTGCCCCCAAAGGTGGCGTCCCTGAAGCAATAGGCAGTGCCGTTGTTCGCATTTTTCTGGAACAATGATCCTTTGCCGCCGAACACCTGTAGTTGAGACGAGACCCAGAGGCCGTTGCCCTTGGTCTTGAGCACCTCGTTGATGCGGCCAGAGAACCAGTCCGACCAACCACTCTTGGAGAGCGCGAGCGATTTAGTGGTGTTGGTGCGCTTGACATAGGGGTAAGGAAACTCGCGCGGGCTCTTGAAGAGCCACATGGATGTGATGAATGACATTGGCGTGCCGTCGGGGGTCTCCTTGCCAAACTTGAAGTCATGTGGGACCTTCTTAATCTTGTCGAAGAGGTCAGACGAGTACGGCTCTTCTCCGACATGAACCCACTGGGCGTAGACGACAATCAGTGCGTATTTGAACTTGAGCAAGTCAGCAATGTTGTTCTTGCCGTCATGGATGTCGTCTGGTAGCTTTCGCTTGAGCTCGTCTTCAGAGCCTGGAAATAGATCCAGCAGATTCAGCTGCCGGCTGAGAACATTGACAATGAAATCGTAACCGCGGGGGAAGTTGGGGTCCTCTCCCTTCTGGACCAGGATGTCAAGGAGGGCCTTGAGGGTATCTTTCCGGTAGTGGAAGGCCATCCATAGACCCTTGGAGCCCTCATACTTTTTGTCATCTTGGACCTCGATCTTGAAATGCGTCAGTACACCGAGGTTGCCGGGGCTACCGCCGAGAAAACCGTAGAACAGGTCTGGATGTTCCTCCTTGTCCACCTTGACGACGGTGCCACTGTAGTCAACAATTTCAAGCTCACGGACGTAATCTCCAAGAAGGCCAAATGATCGTGCAAGCATTCCATAGCCGCCAGTTTGGACGTGTCCACCAAGACAGACCGTAGAACACTGCCCGGTTGGCATGAAGACGCCATTGTCTAGAAGAAAGTCGTAGATCTCAGAGAGTGTCCAACTGACACTCGATCTCAAGTACACCTTATCGTTGGCGGTGTCTCGGATCAAGTTGAGGTCAATATTGGGACGTCGGAAGGTGGGCTTCAGGTCCAACTGGTAACTGTCGGGGCCAGTCGAGGACGCGCCACTATATTGATGCCCGCCAGTTCTGACAGCAATATTCTTACCCAACTTGGCAGCAGTCGTGACTACTGTCTTAATATCTTCGATGCTCGAAGGCTGCAGAATCTCTCCAGGATTTAAGTTACGCTCCTCCCCGTAGGTAGAGGTGGCGTATAAGTCATTGTAGCGCTGGTAGGCAGCTGTGCCTGGAACAAACTGATTCCCTTGAAATCCTGGGTCCATTTTGAGAATGACGACCAAGAGTAGTAGAAAGATTTACACACATTGAAGTGCTGAAAAAATTGCACAACCAAGGCAGGGGGTCTGGGATCGGTCCTTTAAACTTGCCTACGAACCTCCATTAGAGGAGGCAGTTGGACATGTGAGAGCTCTCGTCGCCGAACCGCCGTGATCCCTCAGACCAGACCGTTCAATATCTCGCCAATTATTATCGATATTTCGCGCCGCACACGACACGGTGACGTTGTAGAGTTTCAGCCGTCACCCAGTGGCACGTATCATTGGGAATGCCAGTAATGATAACCGAGCATGCAGTTTGCACAGTCTGAGTGTCGTGCATTATAGACATACATCCAATATTTCCCCGCTTCCTATCGGTCTAGAAGCACCGGACGGGCCATTTACAAGCGTAACTGTCAGACTCGCCGAGGCGCAGATGAATCTTAGCCTGCTTCACCTAGCCTTCGCCTCTCCGATTTGAATTCCGTCACTGGGTGTTAAGACGGCAAGGATGGGCAGATTAGGAATTTTACTGCATTCAGCCAGCCACAGAAATACGGCATTCCAGTTTTAGTGTAAATTGTGCGGGATTAAAACATGCAAACCTTTTACCCTCAGGTATGTGGCGTCGGTCCAGATGCTTATAAACCCATGAGGTATCTTTGATATAAGCATGCTCACTGGATGTTGAAGACGGCAGAGAAAATAATTTTACAATACAACGGCGACGCGAAGTATAATCATGGTTTATGGCAGACCTTAACTCACTACAGCCAAAAAATCGAAAACGGCCTAATGGTTTCAGCTCCTCGCCAGCCTATGGATAGAGCAACTGGCTGGGCGGCTCGAAGTTTTCTTCTATATACGCAGGTCTAGACGCGACATTCGCTGATAGGAAGTAGCACATTCTTACGAACAGTATACATCACGTCAAGGCGAAAGTTGGTACAGCAGACCACAAAGTCATTCCCAATGCTGGCGAAGAAGACGAATAAGAGAGCTGTCGATAGCATGTTTCCCTCAGACAGGAGCGTAGTTTCTTAGTGAAACTCAGCCTACAGTATCAATCATACTCTTCTTAGATAACCCCACAGAGTATTCTCCTTATGCTAAAGCTTGGCTAAAGTTACTCAAGCTGCGCGCCATACATCAGCCTCTTACGAATATATCTTAGAATATCGACTTGGAAAGAACCTAGCAACAAGACTCTAAGCCTGTCCCCTTAAAGCACAGTTCATAGTTCAATTACATTCCAGACCCTCTCTTCAGCTGATTCTGTATTCAGCCCCAGTTGCAACTCGAACATCTCAGTTACATTAAACTTGAGAGCTGTGGCGAGTTGATTGTACTACGCTGTGAGAGAGTTTAAGGGATAGCCGAAAGCCGAGGTCACGGGCAAGATAGTTTTTCCACCTACTGACCATGGTGATAGGTAAGTATATAACAAGGAGCCATGAAATATGTGACTCAATTCTGACTTGATCATACTCCAATACGTAAGGCATCGTCATTTCAATATCCATCTGCGTCACAGAGCATCGGGATCCAGACCGTCAAGCAGGGATCTTCTTAAAGTTAAGTTATATAAATAGACTCAGAAGACCTGAAGAGAGTTTTTGGACCAGCAAATCAGCGGCGTGACTGTGATATGGCTCTATGCTAAACTCAACTATGAAGCCACTCGTTCCCCGCAGCTCGTGGCTCAGCACTGGGCTTTATATGCTTTCTTTCGGACATAAGACCCTCTTTTTGGCCTTTGTTAGAGCAATTTGTTACGGTACATTTTGTCTAGCAACAAAGCCAAGGGCCCACACTATCTTACGAAAACAGTTATGTAAAGTTTAGCGACACCCATTTCGCCTTTTACTGTATCATCAAACGAAGCCAAGTTTTAGTACTGGAGCTTACAACTTGGACCGTTGCTTGCATCTTGTCATAGATATTATACATATTTCACGGACGTTATTGAGGACTAGATAGCGTCCCCGATGGCGATAGGCGGCTCAGATAATAATATTTCTCAGTTCTTTCGCTGAAGAAGCATATTTTAACATAATGCCATGAAACAAAGCACCAGTGTTAAAGCATGAATTGTAATACCGCCCGGCTTGGAAGCTGAATAAAAGTCATATATATTTCCCTAATAGCCCATCTTGCGTTATCCTATAACTAACATAAACCTCCTTTCTGTATTCGTACCAGACAAATATGCCTCATCGTTACAGGTAACACACTTGTACCTATACAGTCTCAGCATGCTTTCTTGCATCCTTCATGGACTAAATATAGAGGCTGAGGCGTTCGGTAGCTCCTTGCGCTTCACCTATGAAAGGCAAAGGTGCCTAATTTCACGTGCTGTTGTTACGTGCGCCTCGTGTATCAGAAGGTGGCGAGCTCGGCGATGTCCGAAACATATCATCCGCAAGAAACGTTGGACTATGTGGCAGTAAGGCTAACGGAGGCTGCTTCTTAGACTTAAGAATCATACGAGCTATCCGATCGAGCGTCGGGAATATATTAGTGGCCCATATCACGTACCGTGAGTGGCAAAATACATTTAATAAACCTATGCCACTATGGCCTGTTTCTATCCCCAGACTGTTCAATGGCTTAGATCCGGTTAGAAAAAAAGCATGAGAATCTAGCTCCAAGTCCCAGGACATTGCGTGAATAGCCAAGAACGCATTTCCTCCGGCGCATCACTACTTAGAGCCCCGACAGCTAGTTCTGCCGCGCCTACGATGAGCAGCAATTTTGTGAGCACGAATTGAACCATGTCCAAGTAGGCGTGGTCAATGAGCAAACGCAGGATGAGTAGCTTTTCGGATATTTTGAAAGACTCGGAAAGGCCAATCATAGAGGGGAAGAAAGCAGATACACAAGGGGGGAGACAGTGGCCAGAGCGGAGCGTGGCACCAGACTAGCACGATGCAGTTTATGGCCGTTGAGGTGCTGCGCAAGGTTGATCATACCTACATCCATGATCTGGTGTCTTTTTTCTACGTCCTAATTTGGATTTGTGCGCCACAGTCATGGCAGAATGGATTTACCGGTGGAAAGCCGCCTAGGAAAGCCTTCTTCGGAGATGGGAAATCGGCAGCTTCAAGTATATCGCAGCGCTAAAGATGGTGATACTACGGTGAATAGGCTTGAAGAAATTGTGGGCGAATTTCCAGAGTTGCTGGATGTTGTCAAGCCGCTTTGTCTGAGGATCAGGAAGATTCTCTTTCCGTGAGGTGTGTCGCAGCGGACTTTTGAAAAGCTGCATTTGGATGTCGCAAGTGCATAGTGGAATGTACTATGCACCCGCTGCTATGTCCCAGTATGTAATCACATTGGATTGGCTGGTGCTTATTGCGCAGGTTAGTAGTGGTTGTGGTGACTACTAGTTACTACCTAAAACTGGGCTTGGCGGGGCTTGAGGTAAACTAACCTAGCAAAAGTTTGCGACCACCCCCACCACAACACCACACACCTATTCCAACCTTCCAATTTAGATTACACATTTTTAGCCCAAAAAGCATCCAATTAGAATAATAAATATATTTCTAGATAGCCTAAAGCTAGTAGATTAATATTTTGTATACCATCCGCGCGCACGGATGACTGCACGCAATCTATTGGGCAGTGACTCTATCAACCTGCGTATTTGAGGCTGGGGGATGTCTTGCCACGCCTGCTGAACGCATTCCATGAAAATCGCTCTATCAGCTGCATTATTTTTAAGGTGATGAAGTAAGGGATATATCTTCCTTAATTGACGCTTGAGAAGGCTCCAAACGTTCTCTATTGGGCTCAAATCTGGAGAACAAGGAGGCCACTCCAGCAGCTCAATCCCATGTACAGCTAGTCACGCCATAGAGCTCTCAGACGTATGAATCCTTGCGTTATCCTGTTGAATCTTCTGGTTCCATCGTATAACGGCAGAAGCCCCTCATAGAGGGCTTTTTGATAGCTCCAAGCTGTATAGCCCTTACGAGGGGCGTTGTTATCGCGAGTCATTGGCACAAGCGGCGTCCTTCCCGTCTTCCAGATTCCTCCCCACCACATCTGAGAAAGCGTAGGCTGGTTGTGACCTAATTCTTGGTAGTGCGGCCAAACCATGGGTCGAGGTGCCAAGATTTTAAATCGAAGCTGATTCTTAGGTACATCGAACACAGCACATCTTAATTAAGGCCTGATTATACATGTGTACTTATGGACTAAGCCATTGTCCGGGCTACAGGTTCAACAAATTGGGGACTGACCCTATCAATACCACAAGTACGGAGTAAGCTAGAAGCTACATTGGTGCGTATGATGTGGACCTTGGTGTCTCAGCCTTCAGACGTACGACCGGCCGTCCGTCCATCGAAGCCTCCAAGGATCTATTTTCTGCTTTCGTGTCTTATCCCTGCGTGGGTCGCCAGCAACTTCGTATCTATTTTCTGCTCCTCGTGTCCAATTCCTCTTCCCCTTCCCATTTAGAATTAGGCCTAATATCCAAGGCTTATACGAGCCTTTCGTATATTATTCGCCCCCAGTATTTCTTAATTACTCGTGGTCGTTTTATTGACCTAGCCACCCTTTTCGGCAGCAGCATCTCACTGTATTTATCCGCTCTTATATATCGCTTACAGATACTAATAGCTCGTCCCTAGATATAGAGCTGATTATAGGCAAGCACAGATAAATAAAAAAACGCCTTGATTATAGAAAGTTACTCTAGATATCTAGATAGAAGTACTATTACTATCCTCCTTTATAGTATAATCGGCCGGCGTCTTTCTCACAGGGCGTGGGAATGATCTTCCCTTTATCAAAGAAAATAAATAAGTAAGCCGTAGGGATTATTATTTTATTAGGCTACTTATAATCTTATTAATAGAGGCTGGGAACGATAAGTCGCTGGCGGAGTTATACTTATAATACCGGTTATTCTGATGTATAAGGAGATAAATATTAAAGTTACCCCGAAGGCTAATATTATTATATCTATATATTAGCTGCTCTATTATCCTGGTGAGATTCTTATTTAAGCGATCTCTCTTAGCAGGTAGCAGCTTATATTCTATAGTCTTGTTTTCCTTTTGGGGAAATATTAGTTAGTTAGCAATTTAGTATCCAAGGTTAAATTGCTAGATTTGATAGCTCGAGGAAGGAGGATAGTGAGCCCGGGGGTATTTAACCCCGACTTAGGGCCTGTTCTGGGCTGGTACCAGTTCCAGGACTATAGAGCTCCATGATCTTGGTACACCTAGTCAGACGAGCTACCCCTGTACCTACAGTGTGTAATTTATAGGTATACCCCCTTCGTTATACAGCAACCAACATCTTAGCACCCTGCAAATCTTTACGCGACTGCCTAGGCGCTCTGGTTAGCCGTTTACGTCATGGGTTGCTTGTTGCTAGCAACTTTTAGCGCTGTGCAAAACTGTTTTCTGTGAATGGGGCATGTTGCTAGCAACCTACACGCTCTAGAGCAACCTCAGCTTTCCTGTGCCCCGTAGGTTGCTAGCAATCTGAGCTCCCCTGATTGCTGATTGCTGATTGCTGATTGCTGATTGCTGATTTCTGTAGGTTGCTGGCAACCATGTGTTTTCCTGGTCTCTGCTTTCCAGAGGGTTGCTGGCAACCATGAATTTTCCTGGTCTCTGGTCTCTGCTTTCCAGAGGGTTGCTGGCAACCCTGAATTTTCCTGGTCTCTGGTCTCTGCTTTCCAGAGGGTTGCTGGCAACCATGAATTTTCCTGGTCTCTGATCTCTGCTTTCCAGAGGGTTGCTAGCAACCTGAGCTTCCCTGATTGCTGATTTCTGTAGGTTGCTGGCAACCATGAGTTTTCCTGGTCTCTGCTTTCTAGAGGGTCGCTGGCGACCATGAGTTTTCCTGGTCTCTGGTCTCTGGAGGGTCGCTGGCGACCATGAATTTTCCTGATCGCTGATCTCCGGAGGGTCGCTGGCGACCATGAGCTTCCCTGATTCCTGTAGGTTGCCAGCAACCTCTGGCTTTCGCTTGCCGCGCACCGTCCTGGCCATCCCGCACCCATGTAAATTGTGGAGGCAGTGAAATGCGAACTTAAGGGTGGAGTTAGTACAAGTTTCATTGTCACAATAGAAGCAAAACTAGCTGTGTAGGTATATGTATGTACATGTACCTACAGTACATACGTATGTAAACACGGTATGTGATTGCAAAGCTCCATGTACACACAATAATGACCTAGAAGGTTCTGTGGGGCCTACCTGAATCCGTCTCCCAGCACGCCCAGATTCTCCCTCAGTCCCAAAAGATGGATGAACATGCAATGTACCAGCTCTTCCAATGAGATAGAACACAATGGGACAGCCCTTCCAATGGGACAGCACAGGGTGCACCAGCCCTTTTACTGTACCAGTATTCAATATCCTAGCTCTTCAATGTACTAATCCATCCGTATCCCAGCCCCTCCATGTACCAGCCCATAGTAGGACAGCCCATTCGATGAGATAGCCCATCTAGTAGGACAGCGGAGATCATCGTGCGTGTTTCCAGGCACATCTTTTTGGGATGGAACTTCGAAATATGCCGGGGTCGCTCGACGTGGGGTGAAGCTCTGCCTGCGGATCTCTACGTCTCCAGCCGCCACCCAGCACTGCGCTCCGTCCTTTGCGTCCGAGTTGGATGGCATTGTTCAATTCGATTTACGACCGTACGTGCTCTAAGTATGGTGAAAGAGATGGTAGATTTGATGGCAACTGCGTGGAAACGAGGCGGCTGCGAGATAACGATTCGCCGGAGGAGTCGAGACAACGTAGTAAGAGATCTGATATGGGTAGTAGCTATTGTATGAAACCTACTTTTAATGGTGCAGTGTACAGTCATGGGCTGTTCTTAGTGAGGGGTAATTGCGCACGAGCCAAGAATTCCCTTCGGTCAACTCACGGCTAAACTTCATCCAAAGAAGCCTGCCCTCACAACTTGCCACATAAGGACACGCTATCGATAATAACTCTACCCCAGATGCACTCCAACGGTGCACACGTCATCCATCCCTCATCAACGGCAGTCATAAGTAACTCAGCTCCCACACCTACCTATCGACAATTGAAGCCGCCGTGCCTGCTCGTGTCACACGATTCCCCGTTCGCCCAGGACAAAGCGACAAGATTTGATCGGGATCCTAAATGAGGATGGCTGGCGGAACACAGGGTGCGCAGGTCTAAATATTCCCCAGCCCTTCCTGCTTCGTTTTCTAAGAGGGAACCTTACAAGTCGAGGACGACAACAGGATATTGACAGAAAGCGTAGTGCTTTTTCACCGAAACAAAATACCATGGGAACCCATCCATGATTATATCCCGAGTGTTGACACCACCATCCCCGAACACCACGAGCTGCTCGCGCGCGACAACGACCGATCCTCCTTCACCAAGCTCCACGTCGTCGGCCGCAGGCACCAACATCGAATAGAATGGAGCATGAATACCGTCCTCAGTATTCGAAGCAAGCAACCGCTGCCAGCATTTCAACCGCTACAGCCCGCTCTCAGATTCCAACATGTTCGCCCAGAGAATCGTGTGTCGACGAGTCTGGGGATGACATCATCTATCTCGGGACGTTTACACGACAACCAGACCACACGACGAATGAGACTCCGATGTCGAACCCCACCAGATCTAGCAACAGCATACAAAAGCCTAAGGGCAACAAACCCACTCGACTACACCACAAGCGTCCCGACAGAGTAGCAAAGGCGATCGGGGGGCTAAGAGGCTCAGGAAACGCAGCCATCCCGGTGTCGATAAGGAATAAGAACATTCGAATAGGTCATGCACGAGACTCTGGCGGACAGGTATTTGGCTTTTTTGATAAGGCAGGACGCTTTCGTCTCCAGGTTGAAGTAGATCGCTCTGGTGGGCGCGCGGATCCCGGACCATTCATAGTCATGGAGTCAATATCCCATGCACAGGTGTCATACAGTCGACAGTACCAGAATATGTCGAGAAGACAATTGCGAAACGAGGCCCGTAGACGATTAACAGCGGGCATCATAGGTCCGCTGTCGGAGGGAGAAATATAAAGTAACTACTCCCCAGTACGACGCATAAATAAAACCATTTATTGTGAGGTCTTACTATTGAAAGGAGAGGGGAAAATAAAAGCAGTTAGCACTTTCGAAGTTCAGGGTGAGTTGAGACTCCGATGGCCCTGTCTGACGCTGTCGGCGTCTGTGTGCCAAGTACTTACCAAGTTCCTGTAGCCCTCAGCACTATCTAATGGTCGCAGGAGGGGCTGGGTTATCTGTTAAGATGACCGCTTCGTGAGCATGGGATCTACTGGCAACAGAAATTGACCGGCGGCTAGGGTTCGCCCTTCCAGTGGCGTCGTGGCGGGGACCCAAATTGGGGTTGCCCAGCACTGTAGAATTCAAGGGCGATCCCCCGCTCGCTGTCTCTACTGTAGCTTGTTCGCTTCACAGACTTGGGCGATTTTTTGTGGGCGTCACGTCACACCGTGGCACTACAGGCGACCAGTCTCCAGAGAACTGAGGAGCATGGGTGACACCGAGATTCTCACCGCGCTCGGCGATGAGGCCTTGACAAAGAAAAGAAACTGCAACGTGTAAGAGAAGCTAAAGACGGCCGTCTTGTACCTGCCCCAGGACGACATTATAGATGCACGCCCTTTACCCGCCCTCGGGTTTCTGGCCCCAAATCTTGAAGACGGAAAAAAAGAAAGCGGGTTTGAGGAACAGATTCGAGGAACGGTTTTGAGGAACAGGTTCAAGAAAAGTCAATCCGTTTCATTTTAAATAATTATCGAGGAACTATAGAGCAGCCAGCAGAAGTATATATTGCCTCACGTCTGCGCGTTCTCGTCGTACACTGCTCGTAGTTTAAGGGATACATCTGTTGTATTAGCATATCCAGTTTGCTTAACATGGACGCCCCAGCAGCCGAGATGAAGGACAAGTTCGAGCTCCTGAACATCAATAGCGATGAAACTTTGGCATGTCCTGCACCCCAGGGACACGGAGATGATATGGCCGTCGACCCGATGCAAATCGACGACGACACGTACGGGGCGGAGCCTAGCTCTGGATCTGGAGCTTGGGAGAAACCTCCGACCGGTACCTGGGACCCGGCGCGCTCAGGGACGAGCCCAGATCCCGCGCATATGGTATCACGCAGAAGGCATAATAAACAGAAAAGGAATGCCTTCCGGAACAGTCAGATCCGTCGACCAAACAGTCGGCCATTCAACAGGGCAAGCCGCAACCTCAACCAATTGGCACGTGTGACCATTCTAAGCCAAAGGTTGGTCGGGCATGACGATCCACTGAACCTCTTCACCGAGAATTGCCTCAAGACAATTACAGATTGGGTCTTATTACTCGGCCAAACCACAATGCCAGACAATCTCAGAAGCTCAGATCCCCGAATCATTGCCGCTTTCGAAATTGTGGACAGGGTCATTCGTGGACAGGACGGAACGTACTTGCTGCGACGGCTGGCGTACGTGCAGTTGATGCGGATGTTTACCACGCTTGAATCCATTATAAGAGCAGAGAGGGAAAGTGGACAAGTCCCGCGTGAACCTTTTTATCGCGACGCAACCATTGCCATCGACATTTACATGCAGGCACAGGAAGACTGTTCACACCCGGACGACTTGAGACGTGAGGTGAAAGAGCGAAAACGAGCGAGCAGAAGCTGGAGCTCTCTATCGGGACCCTCTCCACTCTTTACTATGATATACTCAGATGCCGCTGAGGCGATCGTGTAGGATGTTATTCCCTCTCCGAAAGATTTTTTGTTACTGACTCTCTGTCGGAAGGCGAGATGTTGAAAGACAAGACGGCGCGATTCTAAAGGATGTGGCTGTGAACATTATGGAGCGTTCCGACAAGGCTGTTCAAATTTGCACTCTGCTCACCGATAGTGCGGAATGGGCTGTCAGGTCTGGATGCCCAGTTGACATGCGCCCGATTGCGGCTGCACAGATGAGGAAAATTCTCCACTAGTTGGGTTCAGGTGTCTGTAGCTCTCCAAGATTAAGCGTAGAGTGCACTGGACTGTGGCTGTCGTAGTGGCCTGGTTCAGCAACCGTGTGTTCGGATTTGATGTTGACTGAGGGCTGGCTATGTTGCTGGTTGACGTGAGGCGGACGCACTGCAAGCAGGGTGCTGTATTACGCACCGAGAGCCTGGTGCTCTACTGCGCACCGAGAGCCCAGGGCTGTATGGCGCATCGAGGGCTTGGTGCGGCGACTGGCGCGCGGGGCCCGATGCGATACTGCGCACTGAGCGCCTGGTGCGGTGACCTGGCGTGTGTGGGGTGCTGTAGGGCGAAGCGCACTGAGCGCTTAGCGCTGGGAGGCGCACCGAGTGCCCAGTGCTATACTGCGCACCGAGCTCCTGGTGCGGTGGCTCGCGGTTGGGGCGGGTTTTGCCGTCGAGTCTCAGTGGCAAAGTCCATGATCCACCAGGATCCCCTGATCTCGACGACTGCCATAGGAGGCTATTCTTGTACGTTGACCGAAGGTAGAGAAATTGCTCGTGTCACTAGTTTGACCTCATTCAATACATTTTTAAGTGTTTTAAGGCAGCGGCTAGATAGAAAGTTGTGACAAACCCGGATAGGACGCATTTGTTTATGGGGTTGCTGAGGATCGATCAGGCTGAAGATGGTGGAAACCGAGTTAATCCTCGGTCCGGGGGCAGCATCAAAGTTGACGCCATAAGTCGATTGTGGTGAATCTTACTGTGGTGAATCTTACTGTGGTGAATCTTACTGTGGTGAATCTTGCTGTGATTGATCTTGCTGTGATTGATCTTGCTGTGATTGATCTTGCTGTGATTGATCTTGCTGTGATTGATCTTGCTGTGATGGGCATCACTGTGACTGATTTTAGCGTGGCGGGCCTTGGTGGTGTGATGGATCTCAGTGTGATGGACATTACTGTGATGGATCCCAACGTGACGGATCCCAACGTGACGGATCTTAGTGCAGTGACTCTTGGTGTGGAATATCTTAGTGTGGTATGCCCTCAAATAAGAAGCGCATGTGCTGAGACTGGCGCTTGGTGGGATTCCCTGTTTGCGTTTCCGGGCAGCGGTTCCCAGCTTGTGGGGCGCGCATCTATACAGAAGCCACTGAGACTGTCATTACAAGCGTGTCTTCGATGTTGACCGAAGGCTGGTTATATTGCTGGTTGCAGTGAGGCGCACTGCGCCTAGAGTTGTATCATCTTTCGAGGACTTGGTGCAGTGACTGGCGCTTGTGCTTGGCGCTAGTCGCCATTCATTAGGTGTGTAGGGGTGCAGTACTGCGCACTGAGCCCTTGGTGCTGCAGTGTGACTAGAATCCTAGCGGAGTGTCCAGACGAACTGATACGTTTGTGTACTTATCTCGCCGACAGAGCGGAAGCAGCGGTCAGATTCGACCACTCGTTTGACATGGGTCAAATTGCTGCCGCGCGAATCAGACAGTCTCTCGAAATAGTTTGATGGTTGGAAGAATGAGTATTTGTTCTGAGGGAGGTTTGTTTGGACTGTTGAACCGGCCGGGGATCGTTCTATGTCGACCTGGGGTTCTGCGTTGCTCTTCAAAATTTGGTCTGAAGCACACTGTGAAGGACTTGGTACGGACTGGATGTTGGCTGAGGGCCCCGACTGCTATGGTGGGCACTGGGAGCCTGCCAGGTGCTTGACGCTCTGAGGCGCAGTGGCAGCAAGTGGCAGCAGGGCGCTGTACCGCGCGCACCGAGCGCTTGGGGCTGGATGCTGCGGAGAGCATGTGCCGGGAAGGGCTTGACGTTGTTAGGCGCACTGGGCGGCTGGTCCTTGGGAGCTGGTGCCAGTGGTGCTTGCTGCAGAGTGCTGGGCTCTGATCTCTCGATACTCGTCACACGCGTTCCGCTAATTAGGTTGAAGGGGTGAAAATTGCTCGTATTGCTAGGCTGGCCTCATACAATACACTATGTTCCTGGATGCTGCTTTTTGTCTAAGTCATTTGTGTCGACACCAGGAAAGCCTCGTGATGGAACTCGCGTCTTGTCTGCCAGTCCCCAAAACCAGCCCATATTTTGGGTGTGCTTACCGCCGGGGCCACCCCAGATACCTTGACTCGAGCTAGTGGGATCTTGAGCTGGTTGTGACTGCACTGAGCGCCAGGTGCTTAGGCTAGCGCTTGGTGAAGGTTCTCGTTTGCGTTTCCGGGCGGCGGTCCCGTACTCGGAGGCGCGCGTCTACCCAGAAGCGTCAAGGCGACCAAGAACATCACAGCCCCGAATGGATGACTACACAGATGACGCGGAGCGTCACAGCCTCGTAGACACACACGGAACACCACAGCCACGAATCCCCAGCGACACAGATGGATGACACAGAGCGTCATAGCCACGGATGACACGGATGACACGGAACGTCACAGCCATGGACACGAACTGGGACACGAAACGCTACAGCCATACTAAGATTGATGTGGATTAAAGATTGGTGCTGGAATAGCGCGCGGGCAGTGTATTTTTAGGCTTGATGTTTGGTTGAGGGTCCGGTTGGGTTCAATCTTCAACGGAACATCGAAGTGGGTCCTCTGGCGCCCTGGGGCGTGAGGACGAGCAGCCTACCAACTCACCAACGTACCTGTTAGACTAAGCAGACCTGCTCAAATAGCCGGTTTCATGAGTTGGTTAGGTTACGATGGGTTCTGCACAGGCAGGTCTGCATACGATTAGATCTGCGTATGCGGCTCTGCTTTGTGCCTGATCGACATGCACTAGTGGGTGTCAAGATCGCGGACCTGCCACAGCGGAACAAGGGGAGGAGGAGGGGAGGACCCACCAAATGATCCGCTGTAGGAGGCCATGATTCGGAGGTTTCACAGGAATAGACGTATGCGGTAAATGAGCTCTGTGATGACACCGAGCTCGCACTACGAATTGCTGTTTTCCGCAGGTTGCTGGCAACCTCAGCTTTCCCAACTTCTGATTTCTGTAGGTTGCTGGCAACCCTTAATTTTCCTGACACTGATCTCTGGTTTCTAGAGGGTCGCTGGCGACCTTGAGTTTCCTGACTTCTGATCTCTGGAGGGTTGCTGGCGACCCTTAATTTTCCTGACATCTGATCTCTGGTTTCTAGAGGGTCGCTGGCGACCTTGAGTTTCCTGACTTCTGATCTCTGGTTTCTAGAGGGACCATGAGTTTTCCTGACTTCTGATTTCTGTAGGTTGCTAGCAACCTCTGGCTTTCCCGCTTACCGTGCACCGTGGCTTTCCATCCCGTCGTACCTATGTAAATTATGGAGACAGTGAAGGGTAAGTTCAGAATTATAAGGAGCTTGGACATAAGTTTCATCATCAAATAGAAGTAAAAACAGCTATGTAGGTACATGCGCTATGTACTTGCAGCATCAAAGCTCAATACGCAAGACCTAGAAGGTTCTGTGGGGCCATACCTGAACCTGCAGCCAAGGGCGCACCTGGGTTACCCGGCACGCACCCAGATCCCCAACCACCTTCCGCCAGTCCTGAAAAATGGATAAATATTCAGTGTACCACCCCTTCTAGTAGGATAGCATATAGTAGGATAGCTGTGAGGAAACGAGGTCAAATAAGGTTTAATTAATAGTATGGTCAGGTTCTATATATAAGACGTAGTACAAAGAAATCAAAAAGAAGGACAAAATCGGTCTGCCCCTAGCTTAGGGGAAATATCTAGTATTATATATATTAGTATATAATACTATTTATATATAATTATATAGTTTTATAATATAGCCCTTTTCAACAGGATAGTATATTATATACCAGCCCTTCTAATAAGATAGTATATAGTATACCAGCCTATTCTGTATACTAGCCTATAATAGGACAGCCCTTCCAATAGGACAGCCTATCTAGTAGGACAGCCTATCCAGTAGGCCAGCCTATAATAGGCCAACCTATATAAGGCCAACCTATAATAGGCTTATCAATATTAGAAGCTAGAGTTTTATAGTAAATATATCTATCTTTAAGTAGAATTAAGTTAACCTGGGTTATAATATTAATATTAGATTATTTATTAATACTAGCTCTAATAGTATATAGATACTAATTTCTATAATATATTTAATAGAATATAATATAGTAATAGTATAGGCTATAGTAGATCTAGTTAAAAGCCAGTTAATATTATATCTACTATTTCTATAGCTAGAATAATATCTTTACTTAGTAATAGTACTCTTTCTAGAGTATCTTTACAGAATAATATCTAAGGCTTAGCTAGTAATATCTCGATCTGTATATAATTATAGAGATATATCTAATGAGCTAATAGTATAACTAGAGGTATTAGCAAAGGGCAGTAAGAATATTAGTAAAGTTAAAGGAGCCTAGTAGAGTATGGATAATAATAATAATACTAGTATTATTAAGCTATATATATCTCTAATAACTCTTCTTAAGAAAACAGAAGAAATACATATTGATTATATAATCAATATATATATTATGTAATAGCGCGATTTTCAAGGATTATAAAAATATATATCTTTATATCCGAGTTATTCCCGTACGCTAGGCTATAGTAGGTTTAGCTGTAGCGAATAATAGATCTTCGATCCTCTATATTACTGAGACCGCTAGTGAACACTCCCTTCTATCATAAGAAGAGAGTGACATATAAAAAGCGGGTCTTTTGCGCTGTATAGCGCCACTTACGCGCTATATTACGTGGGTTTTCCGGACCCCGTAGGTACTCTGGTTATTAAGAAATAACTATAAATTTGGAAGCTGTCCTAGCTAGAGGCAGGAGGTCTGAACAGATATTCTTTATCCTTTTTATTTCTTTAATATTAAGCCCATTTTAAGTCCAATTAGGACCCGCTTTATATTATTATAATCCACTTTTTATCCACTATTAGATGGAACTTTTATATTCTGTCTCCACTTTTTATATATTTAGTTCAATACCAGATATCTTTATTTTAGCTAGTAACCCTGAAGACTTCGAAGGTCTCGTGACTACGAATAGTGATATAGCCTATACTGCTTTCCACCTAATCTCTCCTACCCTGTATCTACCCTATATCCGCTACGCTCTTAGCCTCCTAACAAGTATAGTACTATTAGTAGAAATAGGTTATTATAAGTACTGATATAGTAATATCTACTCGGAGGTAGTATAAGTTAAATATTATTAATATTCTGCTTTAGATACTATTTTAGCCTATCTCTTTAATAGAGATAGAAAAGATAGAGTTTAGGCTGGGGTTATAATAGTATAGGGAGTTAGTAAGATATAAGTAGATATAGCTAGTATTAGTAATACTTTTAATATAGTCTTCAGTATATAGCTTATATTATTATTATTAAAAATTCAGTAGTTAGAAAAGATAGAACTAATAGGTTAAGCAGAGTATATTATATTAACTACTACCTCCGGGAAGAGATAAAGTATAGCTAACTTATAATTTAATTACCCTCTATTTATATAAGATACTTATATAATTATATTTCAGTATTATATCTAGTACTAGATATTTTCTAATCTAGAGGTATATTAATCCTATCTTTTTATTTTTCTTTATACTATATCTTATATATACTCAGACCTGATCTGTTCTATTAATTAATACTATATTATATTATTTATTTATAACCTGTTATATATAAGCTTATCCTACCTATTTCTTCTCTTATTACTTATTTTAAAATAAGTGATTATATTACTTATTCTATTGTGAGAGCTGGAAAAGGCTTCTTTGTGCCTACGCCGTAAATGGCTTGGCCATTCGGCCGTTCTTAGCCCCGCGCCAGAAACACACACCCTTTTGTATACACTCCATGTACATTGTTCCTTGGTCAATATCCAGGCAGTTATCTCATGTCAGGAATTGCCGACTTGACCATAGAATACGCGGTGGATTATGGACACACTGACTGTGCTCGGACCTAGCTGTCCTGGGACCACAGGGCTGTCTTGGAACCACAGGGCTGTCCTGGGGCCATAGGGCTGTCCTGGGACCATAGAGCTGTCCCGGGACCACAGGGCTGTCCCCGGACCATAGGGTGTCCCCGGACCATAGAGCTGTCCCCGGACCATAGAGCTGTCCTGGGACCATAGGGCTGTCCTCGTACACACCGGCCGTCCTCGTACACACCGGCCGTCCTCGTACGCACCGGCCGTCCTTGGACACTGAATGTGGAACTCCGGGCACACTTCAAAATTGTTGAAAGAACTGAACCGTCGGCTTCCGTGCTCATCTCTGCGATGGCAACATGGCTAGTGACAGCCGGCAAGGTGTGCGATACATTCTGCTTGAATGTAGGAACTGGGCAGATGAATGAATAAATGTAGTGGAAACTGATCGTGCGGGTTGTGGGTGAAAAGACTGTTGGGTTGCCCGTAAAAATCTAAGGAAAAGAAAGCAAGAACTCAAGTGTTTGTCGTTGCTTGTTTGTGGCCGAGGTGGTTTTAACTAGCAAAAATGGTGTGAGCATTAGTAATACGAACTTTGGACAGGGGTCTAGGAAATGGTACCATCCATGTTCTTGGAGCCCAACCAACAAACTCAACAAGTCCAATTAACTGTGTCTCAAAGCTGACTGGGTCAGTTTGCAAATGCATAGGTCCACCAACTGAATGTAAATTACCTGCTTCCCTTTCATCTACGCAATCTCCATATTCAACCTTCCACTTGTACCGGTGACAACGCTTCTCTGCCCCCGGTGCAACCCATGCAAGCATTCCTCGGAACTTGGAGGGTGTATGTTGGTCGAGCACCACATTTCTCTAGCACTGCAGTTCGTAACACCTCCATAACGCTACATCCTTCGAGCACTACGCCCCCTACTGCTACACCTCTTAGTACTATTTATAACCTATATGTAGCACATGCGTCTGGAGCACTAGGTACACCTCCCGAGCACTATACCTCCCGAGCGCTACACCTCCCGAGCGCTATAACCTCCCGAGCGCTACACCTCCCGAGTGGCACACCTCTCGAGCACTACACCTCCCGAGCGCTACACCTCCCGAGTGGCACACCTCTCGAGCGCTACACCTCCCGAGCACTACACCTCTCGAGTGCTACACCTCCCGACTACTACGCCTCTCGAGTGCTACACCTCCTAGCGCTACACGCCTCCAGTACTATCAATAGCCTCCATGGAGTGCTACGCCAACTGCCTTGGTAGTACTATCTATAGCATCTGTGGAGTACTACGCCTAATGCTTTGAGAGTGCTATCTATAGCATCTGTTTAACTAACCCCCATATCTAGCCAACCAATGCAGGGTTTGCCAAAACCACACTCATCAGGTCTGAACCGAGGACTTATCTAGATATCCCCCTAGCACTACGCCTCGCACCTCTCCAGTGCTACATCTCTCAACTCTAGCACTATGCCTTGAGGAGCGAGGTGACGAAAGGTCTCATACCGTAGGCCGACTCAAAATCTGCCCACTGTCACGAACTCACGTGATCGCGTGTCTGGTCCACCATGCGCTGAAAGCCCCGCCCATGCATTCTTTTTTTTCTTTCCACTCCTTAGATCAGTTGATAGCGCAAATGTCGCATGTTGTGTCCGCAACCAGCCCAACCTCAATCACTCAAATTATTCATTTTACATATTTGTTTCTCTATAGGCAAAGTGTATTCTTTCTTACTGATGCTTTTTACGATTGTCAGCTATCTATCTTCCACATTTCACCATCATATCCACACGTAGCATTCTCGAGATTAGCGTCTAGACACTAACCCTACTCAGACATCTTTGTATCCCATGGTGACATCATCGGCCCCGTGCGCTCTCACGGTGAGAACGCACCCGACTCATCTGAATCCCCCCGTCACTTCACGCTCGAAACATCAGCGTACGGCGCCTCGAAAATAACTCCGGTTCATTTCTCAGTCACCTGCCTCCTAGAAAACACGAGATGTTGGCAAAAAGTGAAGATACCACCTCCCGGAGCTTTTCTTAGTGTTACCGCGAGGATCGCTAGCCGCACGGCTGATGCTAATCTTCTGGCCCTTCGAGTCCTTGGCTTGGCCTATCTCCCAAGGCCACCTTTGGCCGTGATAACGCCGACTCCGACCGCTACTCCATTATCGTCGAAGCGATCGACTCGTTAGGAGGGTAGGGTAAACCCCGTCTACCCCCTCAAAGAGACTACACATCTCGGAGACTGCTAGTCAAGTAGCAAACCCGCCGAGAAGGAGCACAAAGCATTACCGCGTACGCAGAGTTAGCGTTACAGCGACCCCTTGCCAGCATCATTATCCGCTCTGAATATGTCTATAGCCCTCAAGAGAGATGGAACATACAATAGGCACCCACACCATAGGCTGATAATAGCTCTTAATTAATTAATTAATAATTATATAGACTGCGTATGCTGAGTTGCGTATGAGACCTACCGTGTACAGAATACACTAGACAGGACCGCGCAAAGTCGCGTATGAGAATGGCTAATCACTTGCGTACGCAAAGTAAATCCCCGCCCACACAAACGCTTTTCCTATTCGGTATATCGTACGAAGTATTACCATATATACAGAGTTAGTATTATACTGGACCCTTACCAGTATTATTATTAGTTCCAAATACTATACCCAGCCTTTATCTTTTTACTAATTATATATTAGCAAGCTATAGTATAACTCTCTAAAATAGCCTAAGTTTTAGGCCTTATATTCAAGTAATAATAGTTACTATAAAGCTAACTAATCTCTCGCCGGTAGTATAATATTATATAAATACTCCTTTTACTCCTATAAGATTATATAAGAAACCTGGCTCCAGCTAGCTCTTAATACTATAAGGATAAGATACTACCTTAATCTTCCTATTTATATCTTGAATCTGCTATTACTTATTAGGCTATAGAGCGGCCAGCTAGTATTAAGATAGTAAGAGAAGCTGTAAATACTTAAAATTAATAATTATTACCTCTTGAATTTCTGGGTTAAATAGTATATTTTCCTAGTATATATCTATATATATTACCCCTTCTTAATAGATAGCTTTTATAGACTATATTACTATTTCTATTATAGAGACCTTATTAAGATCTATTATATTAATATCTCTTAAATTAATATCTCCCCAGGATATAAATAATAAGTAGACTATATTAATATAGAGATTATAGTAATATATCCTGCTAAGAGTATAAAGATTAATAGTACTAAAGAAGATAGGTATATAAGTCCCTTATACTTTCTTAAGTTACTTATAGACTAGAGCTTTATACTTTAGATCTAAGATAAAAGCCTCTATTATACCTTTACTAATAAAAGTATATCTATATATAAATAAAGAAATCTTAAAGAGAGCTCTATAAGAACTAGTAATATCTAATAATATAATTTCAGAGTTAAGAGTTTATTTTAGCTATTTAGAAAGAAGTTTAAGGAAGTTAGTATATATAATAGAATAGTATTTAGAATAATTTATCTTATAATTCTAAGTTCTATAGAGGGTAAAATTTAGATAATTAGTATTAAGTATATAATCTCTTACTAGGCCTAGCAGATACCTCTATATATAGAACTAGATAGCTTAATTACTATCTTTATTACTATTTATATTATTATCTTAACTACTTTCCCTAGTAGCCCGCCTAGTAACCTGCTAGCTCTACTAAGTTCTCTAGTTCTACTCTGGTTATTAATACTCTACTAGACTAATACTAGGTAGATAATTTAAACCCCTATTATTATCAGATTTATTATCCCTTTACTATCTTATAGGAAGTATTCTTATAGATTCAGATTTTTATTTTAGCTTATACCTCCGGTATATTACTAAGTAATTAATAGTACTATAAGTTATAGGAGTAAAAGTAGATAATCCTAGTAAGACCTCCTGCTAATCCTTAGAAATTATACTTACTATATACTAGAAGTTTATCTTCTACTACTTTAGCTTACTAATAACTTCCTAGTATCTATCTTAGCTAATATATATATAATTACTAAGTATCTAAAGATAGAAGACTAGGTACTAGGAAATAGCTATATATAAATAGAACTATCTATATACTTCTACCTTTAGATCAGGCTCTATTAGATAGTAGTAAAGAACCTCAGGAGCTCTCTAATTAATCTTAAGAAATATAATAGTCTTATTAGTTATTAAGAGGCTATAAGCTAGATTATCCTTAATTATATAGTAGTAGATCTATATAATAGTAGTAGTAGTTAGCTTCTTAATATAATATTAAAACTTAGCTTCTATCTCTATTAAGATCTTATTCTTATAGATAATATCTTAGAAGATATATATATTATATAGATCTTTCCAGAGCTATAGAAGGGTAAGTTTATAAGGTAGCTTATACTTAGTAATTATAATAATAGACTGTTTTCCTAAGCTAGTCTCCTTATAGTAATAGATATAGATTTAGTTAGTATTTAGCTTTATAGGATTATAAATAAGATCTAATATCCTCAGATACTATAACTCTAGCTCTAGCTCCTCTAGTTCCTACTATAGTAATAGAAGTAGCTATTAGTATTCTTATTTAATAACTTTATAAGCTATATTACTAATTACTTTAAAATAGTTCTTAAACTTAATACTAAATCTAATATTTAACTACTATTAAAAGTTCTCAGATTTACTAAGTTTATATATAATATATCTAACCTACTTCTCTATATAATTATATAGAAAATTCTCTAGTATTTTCTTATTTATAATAGAAGCTATTAATACTTTATTACTAAGTATTACTAGGTAGACTTAATTATTAAAAAGTTATTTCTCTACTGGAAAGAAGAAGTAGATAATAGTTAGTATCTTACCCTGCTTATTAAAAAAGCTAGTCTACTGCTTAAGGTACTCTGAAATAAGCTTATAATAGATATAGATACTGCTAGTAGTAGTCTTAAACAGGTTACTTTTAACTGTAAGGTATATATATATGAGATTATAGCAGGCCTCCAGATACTTATCTAGGGTTATCAGTTGGGTCTGTTCCCTCTCCTGATCCCGTTCGATTGCTACTTAGTCCTATTCGATCGCTGCTTAGTCCCATTCGATCGCTGCTTGGTCCCGTTCGATCGCTGCTTAGTCCTGTTCGATCGCTGCTTAGTCCCGTTCGATCGCTGCTTGGTCCCGTTCGATCGCTGCTTAGTCCTGTTCGATCGCTGCTTAGTCCCGTTCGATCGCTGCTTAGTCCCGTTCGATCGCTGCTTAGTCCCGTTCGATCGCTACTTAGTCTCTTTCGGTTTCTACTCGATTAGCTCACTCCTCCTC